GCAAAGGACAAGGCTCAGAGCTGAGAGCACAAAGCTCAGGGCTTAGAGAGGCTCCTGGCCAAGTAAATGTCAAGTTGGCATAAATAATTCACAGCTGCATGCAGCGCCAGCCGCTGTGGCAACATCATCAACATGCACAAACACTCGCTGCAGGTTGCATTGTCCTTGCAGCATGCCTCATAAATTCCGGCAAATGTCTGTCAGTCGCACACTCACTCATTCAGTCAGTCAGCCAGTCAGCCAGTCAGCCATTCAGTCATCCAGCCATTCAGTCATCCAGGCAGTTGGCAGTCAGTCAGGTCCGCTCGAGGTGAAAATCTTAGCACTAATGGCGCTGTTTTACATAATTGCCGTGACATTGTACAAATTTATTCAACTGCGAGCTACAACCTGCCAACTGAAGGCAACCTGTGTGGCATGTGTGACCTCGAAAAGGGATTTATGCATATATGCGATACAGGCATACCCTACACTTTAAATAAAAGTGAAAGCATGCACGTAAGGCGCTTAGAGAAGAGCAGACAAAGAGATAGACAATGCATTTAGGTATTATTAGATGGGAATGCCCCTTTATGATATAAAATATGTTCAGAGAACATGTCTTCCCTACAATAATAAGAGCAAAATGATAACTAAGCTTACTTACGTATTCAGACGTATTGAAAATATTTCGATTTTTTGTTCAAAACCTTTGCAAAGAGTATGGGATGTGGGATGAAAATTACGCAGACACACTAACTGACTTTGGACTGCTGCAATCTTGGACACAAAAAGGGGAGCAGTAGTGACAATCTCCACATCAGTGAAAGCAAATAGTGGGCGGAAAGCATGGGGAACGAATTGCTTACTGCAGCTCTGCGGACCTCACCGCTCACCTTTGACCCCTTGCGAGTTTTGAACAATGGAAATGGATGGTGAAACGGCCACATAACAGCAGGCAGTAGTCGGCTTTTGTTCTACCTTAAAATATAATAAGTCAACAGCAACACCGACAAGCGGCAAGGGCAAACAAACGGCAACAAAAGCACACAAATCCGGCGAAAGAGACACACCATGACTTTCTGGCCCCGCTGCATCGTTGTCACCTTGAGCTCTGGGTTATTGGGTTTTCGCACACTCGTCCTGCGTCCTTTGGCAACATCCTCCGCACTCCTATGCTTCGCAAAATGCAGTAGCACCTGCAACAGCTGGGGGTAAGTTGCTAGTTACAGCGAAATACTTCAGGGACTTACATATTTGTGTATCTATGGTTCATAACATATTGTGTAGTTTAAAGAGTGGAACACATCTCGACTGGTTCCTGCATCTTTAATAAGCCTGCCATAATACCTTTTGCATAATCGACAGGTTTGTTTATTTGTATTTCAGATACTAAAAGTTGCCAATCCTACACCAGCTAATCACATATTTGTGCAACTATACCATATAGTCCTGAGTGCAGACACCTCTTCACCTTCACACCACCCAGGGCCAAAGGACTTTTATGCCACCCATATAGCTGAGCAAACAACTTTGACTTTGAATTTCTTGGCCAGAAGACTGGCAAACAGCCCCATATCATGTCCATTACGTCGGACCATATCACTTTGCTTTCGGTTGCAGAGGGCCAAAGGCCAGGAGAGCACAAAAGTTGATAAATATTTGCTTTGTCAAAATATTTGTGCATACTTTCGAGAGTCAGGAAAACCAGTGGAAAGCTATGCTGGTCGGGGTAGGGAAAACACTTTCACGCCTCAGTGGGGCTTCCTCTTTTTTGTTGTTTAGTTTTAATTGGGCCAATGCGATGGTGTCCATTGCGGACTCTAGTGGCTTTGAACCTTGTCAAAGTTTGACCTCCCTCCCCCCTTTAGCACCCCTTTAAGCCGCACTTTTCATTGCCATAAGCCATGTTTGATATTAATGTGCAGCTGTGTGCGTGCCAAGAAACATGATCTGCCACTCACTTTTCCCCCCGTGACCGCCGCCAGTTTGCAGTTTTTAGCCAAGCTACTTGACCATGCCATTTGACAGTGTAGCACCACCGCGTGCCACGCCCCCCTTGCCAGCCGCCGCCTCCCGAGGTATCGCGTATTTATTGTGCACGGCACATGCGGCGCTCGCATGTTACATTTTATGTTTGCCCAGACTTATTTGTGTGAGTGTGTGAGTGAGCATAAATTGCTGCCGGATGCACTGACAAAAAAAGGCCTTCAGCAAGAAATATTAATTGATGCCAGACGATCATCAATCAGATAATCAAACGATAAAAATCGCTTAGAAAATTTATTACACTCGGTGGGCTGAACATATTTTTGAAGTAGGTTTCTAAAGTATTTAGATTTAGATCTACATATTTAGATTTGCGCGCAGTGCACACCGTCTGGTGATTCGTGGTGGTCGTGTGTTTAGTTTTCGGCCACGTGCCCCGCATAATAATAAGCGGCATTCGAGCCGCTGCAGTTGCAGTTGTAGCTGCGATGCCACAATGCCACAAAAGCTGCTCGCAGGATGCTCCTGCTGCAGGTTAAAAGCGCATTACAGCTGAACTTCATAAATTGCAGCCGCATTGGTTGGGCTACAGTGCTCACATGCCAAGCAGTTGGTTAAGCATTCCGACTCCCAGCCCCACCGATTCCGCCGTGCCGGTCAGGAGTCATTCTCATTGCGAATTCCAACTGAGCCTGCGTCTCAGGCCAAATGCAAATTCATGCTTACAAAGGACACGCTGGGGACCCGAGGAGCACATGTCAAAGGAGCATGACAAAAGCCAAAGGTACCCAAAGCTCATTAGTCGAATCAGAGGGATGCTGCGAGGTGCAGGAGGTGTGGAAATAGCATTAAGCATTAAAACAGTTGGCGCAAATTGACTTTAGATGGGGTGTGCCAAAATTTCAGTCGGCTCAAAGAAGCTCAAAGGCCTCAAAGCCACACATGATATGCCATTCGAATTCGACACGAAGTAAATGTGCGTTAAATGCGCACTTAATGGGATATAAGTCTAGAAAGCGGTTAGGCCTGCAAACACACCAACTTCAGTGGGTATCTATTATATAGCATTGGAATTTAATTGCTAAACTGATTACTATTGTATATAACACAACTGGTAACTGATAGCCTGGTCTACCTAATTCCACAATTCAAGCACCGACAACAAGTTAGAAATGTGCAGCCTGCATAAAAGGCCACAAGGACCACAACGAAGTAGATAGTCAGGTTGCCACGGCAACTGTCAATCATTGATTGAGATGCCTAAGGATCCATTGCAGTGACAGTGGCGTAGACACACGTTATCTCGGGAAGAAACCCGATTCTTCGGCATCGCCTGCTAATTGACAGCACATCCGCATTTCAGAACGCTACCATTTCAGCAGCCGTCTATCAGTCAATTCATTATCTAAAACAAAGACCGGCTCTCCATTGAATTTATAATCAAGTTGACATTGCACATACAGCCGTACATTCGGGTGCATAAGTACGCGTGCCACACGGCGACCGCCGATGAAGTGCGGTTATACGAAAATTAAAACTCGAACCCCGAGAGCGGCGAACAGGAGGCCTTTTGTTTGTGCTAGCCCGAAACATTTTCCAGTTGAAAGAGCCCACAATTACGCGCACAATGACACGCCCTCACTTGCATAATTGCGGTCTGATGGCGAGCAGTTTGTAAATGGCGCCGGGCTAACTGCAGATTTGTTCCGACCATTTGGCATATTTCTGAAACTGAAACTCAAACTGTATCTGAATCTGAATTTGAATTTGAGTCGATGGAATCGGTGGAATCGGTAAAATCGGTTGCCAGCGATGCGCTAATTTGAAATGCCACAAAGGCATTTTCCCAGCTTCGTCGTCTGGCTGCCGACCATTGATTGCAATTATTTTCAGGGCTAGGTCCGTAGATGGACGTAATTGCGACTCAATTGAAACATTAATTCGGTAACGTAATTGATTGGGCCAGCGGAAATCGAATTAGAGTCGATTAGACATCGCAACTTGATGTCCTTAAAAATATGAAGTCGCCGATGGCTTGGTACAAAATCCCGAAACGATTTAAATGTCAATTCGAGCGACATTGGATAGGAGATTAGTTATTGCTCTGTGGCAGTGAACGCAAATGAACAATTGAGCGGGAGAATCGATAGTGTTCATCCAGCTCTAAGCAAATGAACCCTGAAGCTTTTCACGTTCATCGGCCTTCACGTCTCCTCCATAAAACTTAATTAATTCAAATAAACTGTATAAAATATTAATTATGCCTACTCTAGTTTGACCATACATATTTAGATAAATTCGTTTACGATTTCTGAACATTAATATAAGTAGCATTGTATCGAATATATAAGTTGGTTAGTGGTTTCGAAATATACCCTTCTAATCTGTAGATACTGGGTATTTTATACAGGTAGGAGCAGAGAGCCGAAGCCGTTAAAACCTCAAAAACCGAAACCGGAAATGCACTCTCCCGCACTCAATACACGTGCACATGCTGAGAGAATGGGAGAGCCACACACACACACTTGGCACTACCGTTCATTTGCCGTTACAAACACAGACACAGACGACAGTGGCGCCAAAATGAATGCAATTAATTAAATTAGTGTTAAACGGGCAACTGCAGTCGCGCCTCAAATTGGAAATGGAAAATGGAAAAGCCATAGAGGAACGTGGGCTTGGAAAGAGATCAGAGAGGCTCAAATGAACTGCCAAAAGAGCAGGCTTTGGTATCTGTCATCAGTTCGTAACTTCAGTAAAACAAAACGTAACTTCAATAAAACAGTGCGCAAATCAACTCAAATTTAAATAAAAAACGCAAATGGATCACGTCTACAAGACTTTGCGAAACCGAGTGGTTGCGTTTAAGACTCCAACGAAAAGGGCATATAAACGCAGGACCGTGCAAAATCAACCGAATGCAGTCGAATTGATTGGAAATCCTGACGAAAACGATACAGCTGATATTTCAAATCCTTCAGCTGTTCTCGACAATCAATCATACCAAAGTATTGAGTCCTCTGAATCCGTTGAAAATGACTCGAATGAAACTGAAAGTGATGAAAGTAATGTATTTGTTGTTTATGACTCAAGAGATCCCATTGCACACTTGGACCTCACAACATTTATGGGATGAAGATTTACCTTGGAATGAACTTTGAATCCTTGGTGTCACAGAAAAAGAAGACAAGTTCCATTAACTCCAGGTATAATTGCTCAGCTCAACCAACTCAATTATTAACTTTCATGAATGGCGGGCAAATTTTGCAAAATGCCATCTGCTGCGGCTGCACTTACGTTTCACTTTTTGCCCGTTCAATTTTTATTTTTAATTCGCCGTCTCTCACAGGACATCCCCTCGCTCTTGGCTTCGATTTTTTTGCTTTCTCGTAAATTGTATTAACCGTCTATAATTAAGTTGGCCAACTGCAGATAATAAATTATGACCCCCGACCAATCCGAATACTTTTTCCGATCGCCAGCCGCCATTTCTGTTGCGACAGACAAATCGAATTAGCGACAAATGTGTTCATATTTTTAATGTCACCAATTTAAGCTCATTTAAGGCCCGATGAAGGGCTTAAATGGCCGATGGAACCCGTGTTAAATGCTAATCTCTAACAGCTGTTCCATAAGTCAAGTGAGATGTCATGCGAGTAGCAAGCCAAAAAAAAAAGGTTTTTACAGTCAACGTTCATCATGGCATGAATTACGGGGCGTCAAACTGTCAAGCACCCAAAACCCCCATTTTTTTTTATTTTCGTACCACCCACTTCAAGCAAGACAGATGAACTAGGGCTCTTTTCCCATAGAACAGCCTCTATTTTCAGTGACTATTGCTATTCATAAAAATTGCTCAATTCCGCTGCCGTTTGCTGGTTTGCCGGGTTGCTGTTTTTATTCCTCGTACCGCTGACACCCCCTCATGAAAACCCGCGGCCTGAGATTTTTCATGCAAACAAGTGATATTTTTGTTGACAACTACACCCCCTCCCTTCTGTGCCACATAGACGGGGGAAAAAACATGTATGCCTAACATGTTGGGCTGAAAAATAGCAGACAACGCAGCCAAAATGGGTTGAGTGGATTGTTTATACTGCTGCACATTCAAAACACAAGCACCCACCACCCACTAGACTTAAAACTACCGCTAGTTCGAAAAATTTATGCCTAAAATTATGCAATGTCATGTGTGTGGACCACCAAAAAAGTATCTCAAAAATATTCGCAAATTTTGCGCATTTGGCAGAAATTTCTCGGCCATAAATTACTATTTGATTACAGTTTTAGCCAGCAAACATATGTAAGAGCGCTAAAAAATATGCAGTTAAAATAATAACAATATTTAGCTGCAACTGCAACACCAATTTGTGCAACAGATGCAACTTTTATAACAAGAAAGCATAGGCATCAATTAAGTCAAAGCAAAAAGAAAAGTGAGCCCTCGGGCTTAAAAATGCACTGAATTAAACAACTTTAAATCATTGATAGCGAGTAAACAACTTTGTTTTAATTAATTTTTTTCTTTTTCAAGATGTTTAGCATTTTTCTTTTGAAAGGACAACAAGATATGAGAGCTACATGAAGTATACCAAGAGGTAAGTATTATCAATCTTAAACTTTATTAATTGTAATATACAAGTTCTTAGATTTTTCATGCCCAAGGCTGAGGCTACTTCGCTGCATCTGTTTATTAACAATTCATGTGCATATATTTTATATCAGCAATTAATGCGCTTGTTCATTTCGTGTTTATTATTTGTGTTAGTTCGCTATCCTGCAATCAAAATTTCCATGCTCCCAGAACAATTAATTGCCGTTAATAACATGGACTTAGCTTTATAAATAACTATGTGGCTGCCACATAAATTTATCTGAAAGTTGACCCCTCACCTCAGCGCCGCAGTGTATGCAACAAGTTTTTGCATTCGCACGCCGCTTGAAGCTTGTGATGCGATGCCATAAATTAAACGGGCTAAAACCCGAGAAAAGGAAGACAAACGTCACCGAAAAAGAAAAAAAGAAGCACATGGCCAGAGCAAACTCAGTCCGCAGAAGCCGCAAACATGCAAACCAAAAAAAAAGGAGGCAACATTGCGTGGAAAGGGGCATTCCGGATACCGGAGGGGGCATGCAGCACCAACTAAGCACGTGTCAAGAGTGCGGCCCAAGTTTTAATTTGCCGGAGGCATCCACTAACATCCCATGCCCCAAATCGCCACTGGAAGAACTGCAATGGATCTATATATTTTATATTTTTTAGCCATAATAGTTTATGTTCCGAAACCACACACTTTGCACATGTCTTTTTAACTGTGCACAATCTAAATTGTTAAATGCAACTGTACCAGAGAGCCTGCTACACACAACTATTAAATTATTATTTATAAACTTATATTTAATTGCATTGTTCTATTTTCCTCTGTGCAGCAGCTGAAGCATCCCAATGTCGACGCTGAGCAACTGTCAGGCCCGTTAGTCCCTTCATAGCTGGAGAGCTGGCCGCCCTGATGCCTGACAATGTCATCAGTTGCAGCTGACGCAGCAGCAGCAGTAGTAGCAGCAGCAGCAGCAGTGGCATCAGCCATAGCTGCAGCAGCTATAGCATCAGTGGAAGTCAGCAGTGGCAGCAGCAGTTGCAGCAGAGTTGCAGGGAGGCAGCTTGTGCCGTCGCGCACGCATCGCTCGCTTTTTTTAGGGTCTCTTGTAAATCTTGTTGGTGGGAGGCTGAAGGGTAGCAGGCGGCATATCAGCACTCCCATGCACCATGAATTCCGTTGATTTTTTTGATTACACATTGAATTGATTACACATCTGAACTCCTGAATACTTCTTAAAACTCCAGCTAAGATAATATAGTTTTGTGTAAGCGATCCAAATCCTTATCTTTCCCAGGATAGCCCAAAACTCTGGATCTGCTTTCAGCGAAGTATCTTGTGTGGTGTCTATGACAAGTGGACAAGTGGGTGTGACTTTCCACCGCTCCAATTCACTACTCACCCACACTGCGTGAGGCTCTGAGGAGGCGGATAAAGCCAGGCTCGGCTGGACTCTGTCAGTTGGCCAGTCAGTCAACCAGTCATCCAGCCAGTCAGTCACTCAGTCCTTCAGTCCTTCAGTCCTTGGGGTCCTCAGTACTTCAGTCAGTCAGTTAGTGGGGATATCCATTCACTCCACCATTTCCATTGGACCATTGGACCTCCACCGATGTCATTCGCTGCGTGTTGAATTGTGTTTTCGTTTGAGCTCGGAGCGGCGCTGATTGCCGCATGCCTCAATGACATTTCATTTATTAAGTGGGGGCGAGCCTTTCGTCAGTTTGCCTTTCTCTTTACCGATTTGTGCAACTCAGCGGCGGCACCAATTAACTATGCAACAACATGCTGACGTCACCGGGAGCGGTGTAACGTTACCGATGCGATATACTGATAGCGATCGGCGGGAAAACGGAAGCGGACGTCGGAAAAATCCTGAGAGTCATGTCGCCCGCCTTTGATTTGTTTTGCAGGAGTGTGCGAATGAATGTGTTACCTATATCCGCTACAAAAGAGCATTTGCATATCAAATGAATTGTAACGAGCATGAAACAAGCAAAAATAACATAGGGTATGTCATACCCATTCGTCGCCCACCATCCACACGATCCCTTTTAGCCAGCTGAAATATAAATGTTAATCCTGGCGGCGTCAATTGCAAAACGTTCAACGTTGTTGACAGCCAACGGATGCACACAATCCAAGACCAGGACCTGCACCAGGCGCAGATTCCGGGAAAAAGGACACAGGACGTGGCAAAAACTCAAACACAACGAGCTGCACGGCGACAAAGCTATGCCAATATCCGGTTCCGGTGGAAATTTGCACATGATCATCATGCCACATTACTATACTTCAGCCTATTTGTGTGAATCGGAAATGGCGAATTGATACATTTAGGAACTGTTCAACATGTCTTCTAAATAAATATCTCAAGCATAGAAAATATGTAAAATACAAAGAGCAACTCAGAAGGCAGTATCAATTAGGTACTAGTTTTTCACTGTGTGGTATTCTTGGGCCGGACCAGTGTGTCAACGGGTTTTTAATTGATTTTCATGGCTGCAGTTTTTGATTGTGCTGATTGACGCATCAAATGAAGTGACTTCGTACGGGCGAAAGGACAACGGGCCAGCCCGTACCAAGGACCTACGGTCATGTGTCTGGCCCATATCAGTGACGAGACAAACAGCACTGAGTCCGGAGTCCGGAGTCCGGAGAAGAGCACAGGGCTCCAATGCCTGGACAGTAATTAAATTTGTCAGCCGGGCCAAACGTTCAGCACTTTTCGACCTACCAACTGCACAACGTTGCGTATGCGTGATGCGATGAGCTGCAAAGGAGCTTGTGTGTGCGGCAAGGTGATGGGCGGTGATGTGGAGCGAGGGAAGGGGGGCTTATTGCATTTTAATCAGTGCATTCAGTAAACTCATTGTTTATCCTCACGGCCGCCTTCCTCTATTTGTCGGCGAATATGAATAAATAAACGAATGACTCGATGTATCAATGATTCAGTGATTGAATGCAGGACATAAATGTATGAGCTTTGGCCGCTAATGACCGGCCTGTGACGTCATTGCTGTTTACTGTCAAAAGTCGGTGGTTGCAAAGCCAGGAGGAAATCTCTGAAATCGGAGACTCAATTTAAAAATCATTATGAGCGCACATTAAGCGTAAAAAATTAATGAGCAAGTTGCGTCAACAATGAGCTAGGATATCCTGAAAGTATATATACTTATAACTGTGTGTGTGTGTGTGTGTGTGTGTGTGCTGCAGGGAATCCAAGGTGCGTCCTCTGGCAACTGCATCATCCTCTGTACAGCCCGGCTTCAGTTTCATAATGGTGGGAAAAAGGAACAGAAAAATAAACGCACCCACACACAGGGAACAGCCGGAAAATGAGGAAGGAAATCTCGAACAGTAGAAGCCAGGCCAGAAATTCAAGCAGCAGGAGCGGCAGGTGCCCCCCAAGGAGCAGCCGCCCTGATAGGATGTCGACTTGAATGGCCGCAATGGCATTGGGTTTCGGTTAACGGTAATAGACGTGAGGCACTCGCCCAGGTCCTTGGAAAAAGCACGCCGACAGCAGAGACCTTCTACGCAAATTTCTACGGGGGGCAAAATGGTAAAATTGGGGGCGAATTCCAGCAGATGCGAAAATCGAGATGAGGGAATTAAGGGGAAGCTCGTCTTTTCTTGCATTGTCGCTTCTTCCAGCTATTTAGGATTATTTTGAAATTTTATTTAGATGTGCTTCTTGCCGATAAAGATATCAATTAGGAATACTCTGTAGTAATATTTCGTAGTAATAGTTCTTAATCGCAAGCCGATGTGGCAGTTTCAGGAGGCTTAAGTTTATTTTGAATCGAAATGAGTATATGTTTCTAAGCATAAACTAAAAATTCTTATATTAAGCCAATTCTAATAAGCCGCACATTATTTACAATGGTTCCCTTGCTCGGTTATAAATTGCATGCTCAAGACCCTTTCCCCCCTTGGCAAACGCCCCTGTCTTGGCAGCCTCCGTTGGCACAAAGTCTACAACGTCCTTTACTTTGCCTAACAATATTTAGTTTGGCAACAAAAGTCGCAGGCCCACACCCCAAAGGACGCACACAACCCACACAAGGTGGGCTGGGGAAACTTGGGGCCCGCCTGCTTGCCACTCCCCTAACAACTCATTTGGCACTCATCAGTAGGTCAGGGCATTGTTAATGCGACATATCCTTGAAATCCAGGACGAGATCCGTTTAAATTGTGCAGCTTTCCTTCGGTCGAACTACGGGTCTGCTACTTGGGCTCCGGCTCCGCCTCCAACTCAGTCTCCATCTCCGTCTCCGGCTCCGGCTTATTCCGCATGCTTGTCACGTTGTCCGGCGCTGAAAGGAGACACCAAACGGGGGTCAGAAGTTTTTTCCCTGCGTGCCGGACGGATTGGGAACTCTGGACTGAAAGGATGGTGAAGGATGGGTATGGGGCTGCTGAATATCTGCGTGCGTGTCTCCTGCTCTTTGTAGGTAATTACCTCAAGTTGGTCATTTGATGATGCGCAAATCCCGTCGAGCTGGCCGGAGCATTGAGCTGTGATTGCGGACGCAGGTGGAGTGTCCACCCCCTTAGTGGCTGCGGACAGGATGGGCTACGTCCTGAATCCACAGGTGTGTGTGTGTGGCCCCAAGGCTAATTGCCGTTAAGTGCCTGGGCAATCCTCAAACGTTTGATATTTTCAACATAAATAATCCCAGTCAGTTGGGTATTCGTCTGGGGATTCGATTCTCACATAGCTTTAAAGCATTGGTTGCACAGCGAAAAATGGAACGAATGGGGGACCACAAACATTTACAGTATATGATTTAGTTGATTAGGTTACAAAAGACATTTTAAGTGGCTGCAGAAATGTTTAATTTAATTACAACATTTAAAATATTAACTGAATAATCGTAAGCTTATATTTATTAGCTAATACTTGGGAGTTAGATCTCGTAATAATAAAGGAAAGTCTTTAAGATCATCTATTAAAGATATCAGTCTTCCGAAGCACAGAAGCAAATGAGGAAAGTCTTTAATGAGAATACCTCCATTTTTCAATTGGCCTTCGTTAGTCCTTAGAAACTGAAATACTCGTGTATCGCGTATATCCTGTGTAGAAGCGGTAAAATAGCGTGTGGATTGGAGGAAGCCCGTCGGGGATTTGGCCACCGCATGGTCAAAGTGCTTTCGGTCGCTTGGACCACTTAAGCACCATGCTGGCCATGCTGGCTATGGTCACAGCCCCCGGAAAACCCAGCCCCCATGGTCCGCCCCATTGGGGTTGCTTTTTTGGCGGCAGCACGTGCAGGTGGAGCAGA